GAGCCACTGGATAGTGTCTCGGCTAAATGGGACAATCCCCACTGCCTCCGAGCTTGATTTCAGCCCAAGTTTAGATTTTGGAATCCAAACTTTACGGACTTTTGGTAGTTTTTTTGCCATTGTTTCCTTCTTCATTTCTTGTGTCTTTTGCACAAGAACACGAATGCGAGCGTTATTTGCACGTCGCTTTTGGATCTGTTCCTTAAGAGTTGAACGTGTCCTTTTCACGTAGATCCATTCATCAGTCGATGGCTTAGCAGAGGTATCAGAGGTTTACCTTTGAGGCAACCGGATCACTCGATGCCTTTTTTACTCTAGGTCCGCGTAGTAACGAACTCCGTCGACTTGTTCCATAGCCTTAGCTAGTTAACGAGCGTGACGCTGGCATTGTCTCTGACGAGCCCTATTCGTCAGAATCGGCGAATTTTCATTCAACAACCTCTTAACTGGAGAGGAGTCGCTGTAAGCAGAGGTTCCAGCATTGTTAATCGCCGGAGCAGCATTACGAGGGGAAGCCTCAGCAACAATTGGGCAAGAGTCATCACCCGTAGTCTTCATTGAAATTAAAGATTGAAACACCTTCTTTATGGACGAAATCTTCTTGTACTTACGAGACGAGGAAGATCTTGAGGATAATGAGGAGAGGTATTCCTCGAACTTTGCTTGGTCGAACTCGTACTCGATCGTAGATTTAACCGGGATCTTGATCGGTTACGACACGATGGTCTCGACAGTAAGACCATTGACTCCCACTGTGGTCACCAGCGTGTTTGCGTTAGGAACAAATTTTATTACAGAATCCATTACAAACGATTATCGATTACAATGGAAACAAAAGAGTAAGCTTTGTGCTTTGTAAAACTTCTCTTTACAATAAAACAAGATTAAGAGTGCTCCTTGGAAACACACGCGGGAACGTTTATCGTTCGCTGCTTGCGTGAGATCTTTGCATGTGTCGGGGGTACGTTAGCCCGTGGACGATCAAATCACAGATCCAAGTTGAATCGCGAAGAAGGCTTTGGAGTCGACGTTTCGTTTTAGAAACAAGGACAGAAGTGGATATCTCAACCAGGTAAGACAAAACACTCTTCTCAAGATCAAGTCAAAGCTTAGATCTCGAGGAAACACCGAAGGCTCTTGAGGATGCTTGAAAACAATGAAGATTCTATCTCTTGCTCAAAATTCACCAAAAGTTCAAGTCTCTGCCTAGAATTTGTTTGGTCCTCGTGCATATGGGTGCTAGGGAAGTATTTATGGCCTTTAGGAGCCGTTACTGAAGATAGAAAGTCGAGACCAACGCTAACTGACAACTCATGTTTCCGAGTCAGTGTCCACTGTCTCGGAAGAAGGGGTTGCTCCAGCCTGTTTTGTAACTGACATCCCCGCTTTAAATGTCATGATTTCTGCAGTTATGGGCGGATTTTCAATTTATAACTGTCTTCCCACGTTTATGGAAAATACCCAGCAGTTATGAAGCCACGTAGGTCGTACAAATCTCGAAAAAACCGTCAGAAAACGACGTGACCCTGTCACATAGTTTCCGAGACAGTTTCCGTGTCTCAGAAACTATTTATTGTCTCATAGTTTCTGAGACAAATTCATTGTCTCGGAAACTATGTGCTATCTCATAGTTTGCTAGATAACTTCTTTGTCTCGAAAATTGTGTGATGCCCTCTTGTTCTAGTCGTTTTGTATTTTTGTGCATTCCTTAGTTAGTCTTCGACATTGGATGATCTTCTTTGACTCAGATGATGACTTTTATCGTCTTCTCTTCATCTCGAGTTGTATGCGATAACTTATAAGCAATTTTTGACACCTACAGTAGTTAAATCATGATTGGGATTTCTAATTCCCTTCATCTGGTCTTGGACCAATATATGACCCAATAACTATATGAGAGACAATATCTTTTTATCTTCAAATGATATGTATAATTGAGCACTCTATATGTGTGGACGTACAATTCTTTTAAACAAGATGTCAACAGAAAATTTGGGAATTGCATAGGTCTTACAAGCATAAGAAGAATCATACAAATTCAGTGGTAAAGGTTTAGGTGGCCTAGAAGTGGATTCACAACAGTCTTATAAGTAGGGGTGCACTCGGTTCGGATACGGCTCGGATATGATGCTTATCATATCCATATCCGCTTACCCATCTCGCAAACGGATACAAATATACCTTGGTAAGAAAAATTCATATCCATATGCGCTAAAATCGGATACGATTACGGATATATAAGCGGGTATGCATGTGGATACAAAACAGATATGAGAAAACTAGTATTGAGAAAATTATAGTTCATGTGATACAAAAGAGTTCGTTAGTACGTTCATTATAATTGAAAAACTAAGATTAGACATCTTGGTCATCAAAATTAACGAGAAATCTATAATCTAAGAATCGAAACTATCGTAAGAGTATGACTAATATGTATTCGAATGTTTCAGATACGGATATGGATATTTCACTATAAAATCATATCTGTAACCATATCCTATCGGTTATAGATTTGAGTAACTGTATCTGTATCATGACTCATGACGGATACGGTTACAGATATTTCCTCAAATACGGATACGGTTTAGCACCCCTACTTATAACTTATAAGGCATTCTGCACAGATCCAAGGTGGTAGCATATTGGAGGTCATGATACTGAGAAAAGGGCTATCCAAGTTAGTCTAGATCATAAGATAGTTAAACCTTGAGGGGTTCATGTTCTTCAAGTTAGTCTAGATCATAAGATAGTTAAACCTTGAAGGGTTCATGACCTTTTAAAGATGCAGTTATGGATATTTGGGTGTACATCATCTAATTGTATTTTGGTTGTCATAAATGTACTTGACACAATGAGTTTGTGTTTGTTTGTAATTAAACTACAAGGATAGTAAGACTTCAAATGTTAGTGTATGAACTAGAAATTTGGAAATTATTGAACTTTGTGAAATTATATCTGAAAATATTGGAAGCTTTTGCCATGGCTATCTGAAAGTTGTGCTGCCTTAAGTTTTGTCGCGTAATTATTTGATAGTTCTTTGCCTGTCAGTTTTGAATTTAATTAGTTTTGAATTTAATTTGATTTGTTAAGGGTTTTAGAAGTAGTTCACTAGGATCTTTGAATTAGGTAGAATTTAATAGATTGGTGTGTAAGAACATTTATTGCTACTTAGCCAGTTAATTAAATTTGTGTGCTAGTTGGTTATCTTCGATTAGGCTGAAAGTTTATTAGATTGGGATCTCAAGTCGGAACAACATTTTGGGGATCAAGGTGAAACTGAAGCAGCGGTCTAAGCTATATCTTAGTAACCATGCTAAAAGAAGATAACAATAGTAATCTTAATACGGCAACATTTTCTCGGTAAGCATCTCTAATTTAGGATACATAAAGTTAACAGTTAATTAAAAAATTTAAATAAGTATAGGAAGTAGTTGGAGAAGCGAGCTATTCAGAAGACTCCAACTACTGTAATTAGAATTGCACAATCAATATACAACCATACTCACCCTTCAATTTCAAAATCATTTCTTTGAATTCAAGAAGGGTCAAATCAATGCAGGGTTATTAAATAATGACAAAATGTATCTACTTGAATCAGTATGATTATATGATATAATTTAATAAGTGCAAGGCTAATTACCTAGTCCCTAAACATAAAACAACATCAGCTTTCTTACAATGCTCCTCCGCAGGATCCATCTCTTTTCGTGGTAGAGCATCCTATAAGATATGAAAATATGCATTTATGTTATGAAAGGATGAAGTAAGGGCAGGCATATTCTTTTCACATCACAAGAATAAAAACATAGTAACATGAAATGCTTGAGATTTGATAGTTCTATTGAAGTAATTGCATTCACTTTATACATGGTTTATTGTGTCTATGACATGCTTATTATTTGATCATATACTCCAATATCCAGTGAAACATCGCTCAAGCTTCACAACAAGCACGACTTCTGCTAGCAGATGGACTTTTTTTGTAATAAAACATTAAATGTCGTATAATGATATAATCTTTCATTAATAGAAAAACAAAACATGCAACCAGAGTATAAACCTCAAGCAACAACAGGTGTATACAAAAAAGGTGAGGCTATACCTCCCAGTCGAGAACAGTGTCCTTTAGCCGGGCCCTACACTTCAAACCAGAACACCGTCTTGAAGTTTCTTTCATTCCAATAGTCTCAATCTCAAAGTCCCTAAGATACCTTCATAAATACAACAAGCTGTCATTAAGAAATGAAAACATAAATAATGTACGCTACAAATTTACAATGAGAGAAAGATGTAGTGATGAATACTGTACTAATTTACAAACTAAATGCATCAAAATGTAAGTCATAGCACTGCAAACAAATATTATCAGCAACAATGGCTTCAATCCCATTAATCTAAGGGAAATACAATGACTATGTGATTATTTTTACTCCTGATTTATTTCCACAGCCGCTTGGGTAGAAATGTAAATGATGATAACAGAAGGACAAAACAATTGATAATGTAAAGCAAACGTAACAGAAAAGAAAATGAGAAAAGTAAACAAGATTAAGCTCAGCAGTAAAGTTAGATATAGCATGAATCATTTCAAGCATATTGTTGAATCGAGCTTTTGGCTGAGAATAACTGAGGTCATCCATTTAGAAAAGTAAACACAGATGTTCCACAGAAAGAAAAAAAAAGAGTAAATCCTTACTCTGCTCCACAAGAAGGGCAAGTTTCCATAAAGGAATTCCCGTGCAATTCAGCAAGTTTCTCCCTCGGTATTCCAGAGCGAAGGTGAAGGCTGTCTACATTCTGCCAAGTAGAGGTTTCATGAAGAATATTAAGTTCAGAACAAAATTAGCATAGCAACCTTCAATAAATAATGCACAGAATTCATGAGCTAACCCATATAATAAAAGTGGAACCCAGGTAGTGACAATAGAGAACTACAATTATATTGCATAATCTCCAAGAAAGGAATATCAACTTCACCATTATTGCTCAGATGGTAAAGATTAAAATGGATGATCTATAGCCACATTGCCAGAGATGATTACTCGAAAGTAATGACTAATGTTCCATTTGTTTTTAATAAAAAAGGATAAATAAGTACCTTAATATTTTGATATCTGCAAAATGAATTCTTCTGTAGCATGTAAACTCACATATTTTCTAGGTGGAGATGAGAAAGGGGAACTGAAACAAGGATGCATATTCTAGGGGTGAGAAACAAATAAATTAAGGTACCTGGCTGATGACAAATTTCAGGATACCAGCTCTCTCCAATTCAACTAAGGCCATATGTGTCAAACTAGGCATTGCACGATGAAAATGCGAAGAGATGCTTCATGGAATGCCCTTTCCTTCACGCTGAATGGTCAAAATAATTTACAAATAATAAAAAGGAAATTAATAATTTAAACAAATTAGTCGACGGGCCATCATACGGAGATCTATTCAACAGAACATTCATCAGCATCTCCCGAAATCATGACTTAAGAAAACTGCTGCCATTTTGATCCATGCTCTCCCAAGCTTCAACTTTATATTATCTCACTTTGAAGACATCTTATCCAAGTCAACATTAGTTTTACCTGAAGAGTCCAAACTCCCTTAGGTCCTCGAAAATCAGGAATTCCACAAGAAGTTGATATCCCAGCCCCCGTAAACGCCACAAGATGTTTGCTCTGCGATTATCGATGGAGCAGCCAAAATTTTACAAAAACGAAAGCCAGATAACTTACTGTAAAACAAAATATAACTCCAGAAAACATAATAATGTTATAGCATCAGTTGTAGCAGTATTTTACTTCACCTTCTGTATAAGTGTTGCGAGCTCTGCAATCTGCATCAACAAATCAAAAAGAAGGGGGGGAAAAGGAACTTTAGAGCTCAGCAAAACAAAGGTTGATTCTCACCGAGAAACTTGCACAAATCCAAGAGCAATCGTATTGTGTCATCATGCACTGTGGTAAAAACTACTAGCATTAGGCAAAAACGAAACGAGCTAATAAAAATGAGGGTTTTCCCCCCTCATCAATTAGCCTCTGCCTGACACTTGATTTTCGTGGTGATGAGCAAGGGAAATGACTAATGTGGTTTCTTCCATCGCTGAGTCCAAAGAGAAGATTTCCACCATCAAATCTTCTAGCCTCTAGACCCTATGGAAGTGTAGGTCAACAAATAGGTTCCGCTTCTTATGATCTGTCAATTGATCCAATTAACAACAGAGACCGGTCTTAAGGTATTCGTCGTCCATCGACATGACCTGCAATCCTTTCTTCTCGTGTCCTGCCGCGGACACAATTCGCATATTCTACTTTCCTCGTGCGGATTCCTAATCATTTAGATGTTTTTCCATAACCCATCTGTGTAACCAAATTATATGATATGTATACACTGTAAAGGAGTGCTAAAAAAAACCAACACGGAAATCCCAACCCTTAAGAAATTAAAACAAACACACCTCACCGACCACATCACCCCCCAGACTAAATGATGTTTTCCATTCACCAGAGTTTCTGGCACAAAACGCACACTGCTGATGAATGCAACTCCTCTCTCGAAAAATTTGCAAGAAGAAATGATCTCTCTCTCAAAAAAAAAAATTTTGTAATAACGATCACCCTCGTCGCAACGATCTCGTCGATTTAGTTCAGGTTTCAAGGGAAAGTCGGCGGACAGAAAGAGAATAAGACCTAGCGTCAAAAATAGAGTCAGCAAAGGAAAGGGCTAAAGGCTTCACCTTTTCCTCCAAGACGTTGGCTGGGTCGAAAATCTCAGACATGCCGACGGTGCCTACATCTTCTCTGTACGAGAGCTTCTCTGCGTAACCCAGAGACATCGCCTCTCTCTCTCTCTCTCTCTCTCTCGGAGAGGGATGGTATAGTTTTGGGGTTTTTTTCTAAATATGGGGGGAAAAGCGAAAGGAAAAAGAGTACGAGGTTCCTCCCCTTGGCCCTCTAGAACCAATTTCTACAGCAGATCCATGGTTGACTGGTCAATTTTTGGGCCGGGCTGAAGGGTAGGCAAAGCATGTATGTCTGGCTGCTTTCTTGTTTTTTGTTTTTTGTTTTACACATGTTTTTCAGTGAGATATGTTGATTTTTTAACATAATTCTAGAAGAAGTCGAGCGGAGTTAATTGCGTGCTATAAATCTGACACGTGCGAATACACGTGATATAAAAATATATTATTTTCATTTTTTTTTTAGAATGCATAGTTTATAGGTTGAGGAAATAGTGAGGGTTAATTGATTTTTTTGAGAGATTTTACCTTTATTATCTGAACTTGAAATTCGCCACTAATCATATCTATACTACTACGTAGTGAACATAGTGGAGGTAGTAAAAATTAGATGAGTGGCGGGTATTTTCCTCCTTCCTATTGTAATTTAGGAGGTAAAATGATAATTTTGCAGGAGTGGTTTTTTCCCTTTCCTTTATTTTCATTCTTATTTCTAGAACGTTCTAAATCATGACATGAGAATAGGATTGAACTCACATAATTAAGATTATGATTTTTTTATTAAACTACATAGAATGTTCTACTGAGAGGGAAAATGAAAAAGAGAAACAATTATCTTTTATAAATTTACAATTTTAACCATTTTTTAAACAATTGAAAAGGATGAGTTGTCCACCACTCATCCATTTTATTCCTACTCGGACAACTCATCCATTTTATTCCTACTCCTAGTTGGTTCTTTCTATATTAGTATAGTTACGCTACACATCCTATATACTATCAAAATTTAGCCATTCATCGTTTTTGGACTACCTTATAAGTACATGCAATTTTTTTTTGGATCGTGCCTTTGGCGCACACGGGAATCGAACTTAGGTGCCCCACAAGGGAGCGACATGGCTTTGCCATCTGACCTACTAGGCTACCCCTAAGTAGGGCTGTCCATCCGGGCCGGCCCGGCCCGGCCCGGCCCGGAAAACCGGGCCCGGGCCGGGCAAAACCCAAGCCCGGACCCGGGCCTGAGCGGGCCGGCCCGGTTTGTTTTTTTTTTTAATTTTGTTTTTTTTTATTTTTTTAAATTTTAACAAAACCATAAATTATAAATTATTATAAAAAATGTCATAAATTTTATTAATAACTTGAAATGAAATGACATAAATTACAAGTACAAAAAATGATAAAAATAACTTCTTTATTAATAATCGGTAAATCCTTTACAAGTATAAATTTATTTCGAAATTCGTCGCATCACAATAGATGAGTACATCCCAACTAGGTTGGCACCTACTCACCCATATCACTATCATTTGCAACTTTTTTCGAAATAATTTAATTCAAATTTAAAGCTAAGAAATAAAAATTACAATTTTATGAATATTATCTAATCATTATATCTATCTGCTAGTCCCAACTCTTCAAATTTATCTTCAATCATAGCAATCCGTTCGATGCCTTGTGTTCGCTTCTCGTATCTCCACCAATCCTGTAAGCACATCACCGCTTGTACAGTATACGGATCTAAGCATGTCCTGTGGTCGTCGATCAAACGTCCTGCTGTGCTGAAAGCGGATTCCGAGGCTACAGTCGAAACCTGCACTGATAGTAAGTCACGAACCATGGTGGAAAGTATAGGATATGAAACTGATCCATATACTTTCCACCATTGCAAAATATCTAAAGCATTTCCTTGACATCTAACTAAAGAAGCAGAAAAATATTCATCTATTTCAGAAACATCTAATCCTGATGAAGTTCCAGATCCACCAGTTAGTTCAGCTACCATTGCATACCTATCAAAACTTACACTTTTACCTCGACCTGTGCTCGAAGCTGAAGGTGCCGAAGCTGAAGACTGTTGTGTAGCTACACCATATCTAGCTGCATACTCATCATATAAGGTTTGAAAATAATTTCTAATAGCTAAATAATGAGTAGTAGCAGTAAGGGTGGATCCATCATCTAAGTCTATAATCTGTCCACCATACAATGATTGTAACAAACTTCGAAGGCCAATTTCCTTCAAGCATGGATCAATAAGAACACCAATACCAAAAATATGAGGAATAGGCCTAAAATACTTATTAAATTTACTCTCCATTTGAAAAATTATATTTCCAAAAGTATCATCCATACGATATTTTGCAAAAAATTTTTGAATATTTAAAATTTGTAAAGCAGCTAAAGTAATAGTTGGATAATAACAACCAGATAATAACATAGTAGCATCATAAAAAACTTGTAACATCTCATTTAATTTACATATAACTGTCCATTCATCTTCAGTTATTCCATAAGCACTACCAGAGCTAGAACTAGAAGCATAAAAATTTATAAAATCATTTATAATTTCTTTATATTCTATTGCTACAGATAACATTGCATAGGTGGAATTCCACCTATGGTCAACATCTTTTGGAATTAGTCTAGGCTTATAATTTTTTCTTTTACAACATTGTTTCCATCTTTTAATTCTCATTTCAGAAGCATTATGCATATTAGTAACTGTTCTAACTTTTTCTATCATGGGTTTAATTTCAGAAAATGCACTTTGAACAATTAAATTTAAAATATGACAGATACATCTAACATGAAAAAGCTCACCATGACATGGCAATGACAAAGTTATTTTCAGAAAATCAACAGCTACATTATTATTACTTGCATTATCTAGTGAAAGAGTAAATATTCTTTGATCAATTTCTAGTTTCATAAGTTCTTCAACAATTAAATTTGCAACATTAATACCAGTGTGTGACTCTTCAATTGCAATAAAAGAAACAACTCTTTTAAACATTTTCCAACTTTCATCAATCCAGTGTGCTGTTATACATAAATAACCAGTTTGCACTCTAGATGACCAAATATCAGAAGTTAAAGAAAATTTGCAGTTTAAATTTTTAAAATAAGAAATTATTTTTCCCTGTTCCTCAACATAATATTTTAAAATATCACGTTGACAGGTTTGACGAGAAAATTTTGTAAATGCAGGATAAAAACCATCTCTAAATAAATCTTCAAATTCATCATCTTCTACTAATTTAAAAGGAAGGTTTTTAAGAACAATAAACCTGATTACGCATTTCCGGGCTCGGGCAGCGTCATAATTCCAACTGCCGAGGGTACCTGAAGAGGATGATTGGGAAAGCATAGACTGCCGGATATCACCTTGTAGATTTTGGCCTTTGTTGTGTTTTTCAATATGCCGTTTGAGATGGTTGGTGCCGCTCTTATGATGAGCTTTGAATATCTGGCCGCACAACGCACATTTCGCATTCTGAGAGATGATCCTACCGTGTTCATCCTTGGTGACGTCTATCTTCTCAAAAAAATTCCATACATCAGACCTCGGCCTTTTTGGAGCTCTTGGTGCCGTAGATTCGTCGCCACCAGATTCAGGATTAACACCGGTAGGATGAGGAGTTGTTGTAGGAGGACTCATCTCTGGATCGGTAGGAGTTGCATGTTGCTCTTCATAATCAGACCCAGAAGCCATTTGTTGGAAGTATTAGAAAATACAAAAGATTATAGGATAGTATATTAGTATGAGATAGTATAAGATTGTATAAGAGAGTAGTAGAGAGAGAAATAGATGAGTTTTGTTGTGAGAAAATGAATTGAAACCCCCCCTCTATTTATAGAAGCAGCCCCCTAGGTAAATGACCAAAAAACCCTCGAAAAATAGCCGTTTTTTGACCGTTTTAAGGGGCAAAACGGTCAAAAGACCAAATCTGGCCGTTAGGCCAGATTTGGCCCGGGCCGGGCCGGGCCGGGCTGGCCCGGCCCGGCCCGGATTCAACGGTCACATAAGTGACCGTTGTGGCCGGGCCGGGCCGGGCCGGTCCGGCCCGGCCCGGCCATTCGAAGAACCAGTGCCCATTTTTGGGCACTATTCCGGGCCCGGCCCGGGCCCGGACAGGGTTCGCCAACGGCGACCCGGGCCCGGGCCCGGACCCGGGTTTTGCCCGGGTTTCCGGGCCCGGGCCGGGCCCGGGCCCGGGCACGACCGGGCCGGGTCCGGGCTCCGGGCTTTTTGGACACCCCTACCCCTAAGTACATGCAATTCTTAATTGAATGTTTTTAAAGCTAATGGGGTTTATTGGGCTGCCATATGCCAATTGTGAAGCTTACACCATATACTAGGTGAAGTGGATTTTATATGTTTGTATCATGGACTTAATAAAACACCAAAGTTGTGTTTGGCAACTCCATAAAATCATGTTAGTGAATACATCCTTTATCAAATACTTATCTGTAGTTTGCCAAAAACTATGTCGAAATTGGTCCCATTTTTCTTACTTCAATTCTAGGTTAATTTCTCGTGGACTACCCCTCTCCCAAATTAATCCTCTCTAGGCATTAAAAAAACTCTAATATTGGTGGTTCGGAGTTGCCAAACACAACTAGTATATGCAAAAAATTGAAAGACAAACTTGTTTTTGTCTCTTTGTAATAAAAACAACTGGGGAGGGGGGTCGGGAGGGGGGTTAGCAGATTACCAAAATATTAAGATAGTGGGTGGGAAAAAAAGATCTAGATGACATAAAATGAGAGAAAACCCATATTCTTCAAAATCTGCCAACAAAATCTTTAAAAAAAACTCACTTAGGATGTATGTACTAGTGAATAGTCTCTGATAATAAAATACCAACTCTTCATATTTGCAAGGGGGTGCATTTATTATTTCTTTATACTAATCAATCCAAATGGAGATCAAATATGATAGTCTATAATAAATTTTCATATAGTAAGCAAATCAAAGAAGAATCTAAAATAAAAGTTTTGGCAAAAATACTTTTGTGGATACTTAAATCGTTTCATCATATGCATTCATCGTTGACTCTAACATGCTTTAATGTTCTAAAGTTTTACTTAAAAATGTATAAATTATAGTTGGTTTTACCACAACCACAAATTACAAATTATAATCTTTCTAAAACTAAGACAATTTGATAATACAATATAAATT